CACTCTTGAAGCCCGTGATTTGGGCACCTCCTTACTAGCTGCTTGAACCGCTCCCACGTCTCGAATAACGCTTCACCGGCTTCTTGTATGAAGTTTTGAATTTCTCGCCGGATTCTCTCAGTTTTTGTTGGGGAGTTGTATGTGTTCATGAAAAGTTGAGCTAGCTGGGCCCACGACGATATGGAGTGCGGTGCACGAGTTTGCAACCATTCTCGGGCTGCTCCTTGTAGGGAGTGCTTGAACAGGCGGAGTTGCAGTGCTTCGGGTGTTACTCCGTTCATCTTGTGCGAGTCACACGTCTCGAGGAAGTTGACCAAGTGAAGATGTGGATCTTCATGAGCCAATCCGCTGAACAAACCATTGTTTTGGAGCATTGTGAGGAGTCCCGCTCGAATCTCGAAATTGTTGGCTTCAATGGGGGGCTGCTGGATGCTTGATTGGAACCCATTGAGTGTCGGGACGGTGTACTCGTGCAGTGCTCGTTGACGAGGCGGTGGATTAATCAGCTGGCGTTGCTCTTGCTCGTTGACGATTTCTCTTGCCACATTCGGTGGGCGCCTTTGGTCACCTTCTCCACGATTATTCTCGTCCTCCATCGTTGCCGGATTGTTTTGGGCTAACCGTTGATTTCTCCTGGCTTGCCTAAACGTTCGCTCAATTTCGGGATCAAGAGGTAGCAGGCTCGTGTCGTGTCCTCTTCGCATAAAAAGTACCTAAAAAAAAAAAAAAAAAAAAAAAAAATAATTAAATAAAATAAAAAAAATTGGCTGAAGTAAGAAAAATTGTTCAAATTTAATATTAGGATAAATAAATAATTTAGCCGTAGTCCCCGGCAACGGCGCCAAAAACTTGTTGGGTGCTAAATACCAACACGCAAGTGTACGTATCGCAAACAAGTAGTAAAGTAGACTCGTGAGAGTCGGATGTCGATCCCACAGGGAATACGCAAATTATTTAATCCTAAGTACCAAATCCTAACAATTGTGATTTTTATCCAGCCTACGCAAGGTTGTCAAATTAATTAACTAATAAAATTAAAATAATTAAGAAAACAAGTAATCACGAGAAAATATCAATATAAAATGGATCTAGGATTTTATCTTCCCCCTATGCGATAATTCTTCACCCAATTAATCTCCTATCATGCAAGTTACGATTCTCGATTATTAACCCAAGACACGAAATTATTCATAACCAGCTGTCGCTGCGCTATAAACCTATTATTCATAAAAGATTTACTATATGTCTATGCAAACCTAGTATAAATAAAGCATTAAATAGCAAGTCTCGTAAACGGCTACCTAAGGTATTATCTGTATGTCTACGATAATACATGCAATCAACACACGCATTCGGTGAAAAACTACTCGAAGGCTCTTCTATCCCTGTTCTAATTATTAAAACGATCTGTCAATCAATTCTAACAATAACAAATAGCAACATAAGTTAGCTACGCTCATGCACTAAATACGATCAAAATAGAAGAAATAATCGAAGAATTAAACTTGCATAAAAGTAGAAAAATAGGTTCGAATCACCACATAGGGTTCCAATAAAATCCTAGAATAAAAACTTAGCTACTCATGTTCGTAACGAAAAGCATAATAAAAATACGGAAATTCATAAAAATCAGAAAAGAAAAGGAAAAAGGAAACTAGGATGAAGATTCGTCAAGTCTTCGTCTTCGTTCTCTTGCTCCTCGATTGCGTGTAGAAACGATAAAAACTCCAAATAAAAATAAAAGGTAAAAGATTCAAGATAGGTCTAATTGTGTGCTTGTGGCCTTTAAATAGGGTGCAAAAGTCTAATAGGGCGGGTTTCCTTGTATAATTGAGTTCCCTTCACTGCGCCATCACGTCCACTCACACGGCCGTGTGAGATTTTGAACTAAAATCCGCACGGCCGTGCGGTCTTTTAATTCTTCAGAAATCTGCTTTTTTCACTTCTGGCCCACTTTTTCTCTGAATTTGCAGTTTTCACCCCAAAAGTTGTCAATTCTTCAATTTGCACCTAAAATACAAATAATAACCAAATTAAGCACCAATTATCGTAAAAACACACCAAAAGCTCCAATTAAAAGGTATAATTAAGTGTATAAATATACACTTAACAATAGGGTTTCACGTAATACGAAATTTGAAAAATATATTGAGTATATGTAATTTTAGAAAATATCTTATTTGCTCTACAATAGTAAAAATTTTATTAAAAAAAATTACCAAACACTTAAAAAATTTATAAACTCTTTTTAACAACTTACAAGCCTAACCAAACATGGTCGCAAAGCTTTGCGACAAATCTAAATGAAAACGTTGTATACATTGTACTTTATTTAATTATGGTATAGATCTCTAACTATATTGTATTTATAATAATAGTTATTAGGAGATAATGAAAAAATATTTTTTTATTTAACCTGCCTAACCGCATACTCTACTAGAAAAATTATAGGGAGTAATTAGGTAATAAAATACTTGAAATAAATAATATAATGTGTTAGGCAGTAACTATAAAGCTATATAAATAATTGTGTAAATAACACACTTTCCCCTACACTTTACGTCAAATTGAAAAATGTAACATAATTCAATTTTCTGTGTCTTCTGGTTTTCTAGGCAATCTATAAGGCCATTCTTTTATTTATTTATGTTTTCAAAGATCGTTGAATATCCAGCTCAACCAAAATATTAAGCTATTAATGAAATATAATATTAAATATTAACATTTTTAATGAAAAGTGAGATAATGATATACCTAATTGGGCCGATCCAGTGGACCCCTAATTTGCCTAATAATTGGGTCCACTACACAAAAATCCAGTCACCTTCAACATAAGGCTTGTCCCCAATTAAGTAAACCCAACTCATTCAACGACATATAAATAGAAGTTTATACTCATTTATTAAGGTACGTTTCGATTATTCACCAACAAGCTAGAGTTTTATACTCTCTACTATCTTTAGGATCCGTACATCTGACTTGAGCGTCGGATGGGTTTCCGCCAGATCAACCCCCAGCTTAGTTCACGTGTGCTCATTTCGCAGGGATCTCAGGATCATCAAGTTGTCAAGCTACTGATCAAATTTGCTCTCCCAACTCGTTTTCTACACTACCCTAGGTGATCTAAGTAATTAACATCATCAGATAATTTTCACGAAAATGAATCACGTGGATGTAAATGATTAGGATAACAACGTGCAACAAATAATTTTTTGGGTAAATTACGGCCATCCATAAGGTACGTAAAGTCAAATTATGAAAAAGTCCCTCATGTTTTCGGTAATTACAAAAATCCCTCAACTATTATATTCTTACACGTCCACCTTTATGGTATCTAATTCAATATAATCTTCTCGATTCCGTGAAATATTTTCTAGTTTGTAATCGTTTTGTGCAAAAAGATAGTTTCAGATGCACCAGAATCTGATATTTACAAGTCAATATACACACATCTTATCATTATCTTATTTCTAAACGTGGAGCTGAAATAAGATAAAACGGGTACAAACTGGAGAATATTCCACATAATCTACAAGATTCCTGACACTGCAAGGGTGGAAATGTGAGAAAATTCAATGTTGAGGCATGGTCGTAATTATCCAAATACGAGGGCGTTTTTTTCCTCGTAATTTGACCTTACCTCTGGTGTGGCTGTAATTTACCGATTAATTTTTTTTAGGGAAATTCAAAACAATTAATTAGACTTGCCTGATCTGGAACTAAGTCTATTTGAGAAGTACATAGATAGAGTTGGGCATTGACACATAATCTTAATTAAGTAAATTGATATAATAATAATAATAATAATAATAATAATAATAATAATAATAATATACATAACTTTGAAAAGTATAAAAAGAGATGTATGTATCTAACATATATAATATATTCATCTCTGTATAAGCATGAAAATCAACATAGTTAGCAAAAAAATGATAAAACCAAGCACCCCAACTCCTCAAAACCTTTAGTACAAAATTTCTTTCCTAGATGAGCATTTGCCACCGGTGAATACGAGAACCATTTTCTTTTACTATCCAACATTATCGAATAACCGAAAACAACAAAATGTGTTACAGCTGGCAGAATCATTGTCCGAAATCCTACCGAAATTCTACCCTCTTGTTGGAAGATACATCAAGAATGATGGCTTCGTCGACTGCAGTGATCAAGGCGTAGAGTTTGTCGAAGCACAAGTTGTTGATGATGACGTGGATTTCAACAACCTCGTCTCGAAAATGGAAATGGAGGAGCTGAATAATATCCTATCACGTACACCACACCAAATCGATGAATCTCCGACGGATCCACTCCTGTCTATTCAGGTGACGGAATTTAAGTGAGGGGGGCTTGCAATTGGCGTCAGCATTTCTCATAGAATCTTCGATGGATATTCTTTCGGAATGTTCGTGGATGCCTGGTCAACCGCCAACAACAATCATCCAAATCCAGGTGGCGAAATCAAGATTTGCCCGAGTTTTGATTTGGCGACGCTGTTTCCGGGCTACGGGCCTAGACCTGGGCCGCCTGTGACTCGCGCATATCGCCCTAGCCCTATTGTGAAGAAGTTCTCGTTTAACAAGGATGCAATAACAAGCGCGAGATCGAAACTTATTACAAGGCCAAATAACTATTACTCGAGGGTGCGTGTGGTGTCTGCGGTTTTAGCCAAGGCCCTAATGAGGGTGGATCGGGCCAAACACGGAGGAAAATCAAGAACTTACCTCATTTGTCAAGCGGTTAACATGCGGGGGAGAACAAACCCACTGATGCACAAGTATTCTTGCGGGAATTTTGCATTAATGTCAGTTGCTCAATTTTCCGAAACTCGTGAGAACGTAATCGGGGTTCAAGAACTAGTGGATAATATGGGCGATTCTGTCATAAGGTTGATGCACACCAGTTATGAAAGTTATTTAATAGCCTTGATTTTAGAATATAAACTCTTATTTGAAAAAAAGAATTTGTCTGCTATGTTTATCGTGATTTACAAAATTGCATCAAGAAAAACGAAAACTAATTTACAGAACACTGAAGAAGAAACATTTGTCATCTGGAAACTTTGACAGAGCAAAATAACATGGAATATACTAAATATGAGAAAACGATATTTTAAAATAAAATTACAGTGAGTAATGGTGGTGGGATGGAGGCCCGTGTATCGATCCTCGATTACGCATAATTGAATGATGTCCAGATCAAGCAAGTACTGGCTCCTCCATAACTGCACTCAAATTTTTGAACAATTAACCAAATGTGTGTGTGTGTGTGTGTGTGTGTGAGAGAGAGAGAGAGAGAGAGAGAGAGAGACCTTTTCTATGTTCGGAAATTTCAATTTCAGGCGAAGAATCGGGCTCTGGGATGGTCGGTACTTTGGTCGGAACATCAGGAAGATCCAGCTTCTCCTCGTCTTGTTCTTCTGTAGATGGCGCTGCAGATGGAACTTTTGGCATATCTAGAAGGTTCATCTGTACAGCATCAAAGTACCATTTACTTTATATCTCATGTTACATCAAGTATTGCGAGAAAGAGAGCGATTTTGATCGATTATCTGGAGACTTCATAATCTTACCAAATAATCGTAAAACGAATGGAAACTGACATGAGAATTTCAGAGCATGAGACTGCATATGTAATATTTTAATGCATGTAATGCTCACACGAAAACTATTATTCATGGGAAGCTTAGCAAATTGAACAATATCATATTTTCTATCGAAATCCCGAACAAGAAACATGAAGCAGGTACGAGAATAATAATGGCATTGAAGAAAAAAACGGACCTCGGTCTCAAGATTCTCGAATTCTGCTAAAACTTCCTCTTCATCTTCAGCTGATAGCTTCTCTCCCAAAATAGCATTGATTTCCTGATAGAAAAAAGACTATGTCAGCAGACAGAAAATCGAAAGAGCATGTAAAGAAGTATGAACTAGAGGAAAACGTTCTACAGTTAAACCTAATAGAGTCAGGACTAGCAAAATTCTATTAATTTAGCGAGATATCAAATTATCGAACTAATAATTTAGTAGGCTTTTACCGAGTCTGGACCAGAATAAACTATTATAAAAGCGAGGTTATTAATTTATCGACATTCTACTGTAAATAGAAAAGATTGTGTTCCTCGTGTTATATACCACATTAATGGAAACAATGAACTTCAAGAAACGATAGGATTTTCATATTTTCATAATCATAGATACTTTATTGGGTTTGAAATGTACTGCCAGTTCAAAAGAACAAGAGAGATAAAACGTAGAATTTGGAGCAAAAAATAAAAAAATGAAATAAAAATCAAGAATGAATAAAATCGAAATTCGAAACTCACATCTTGATAAGCTTTTGCCTCAGCAGTATCATCCATCAGCTTTTGAACATCTTCGAGGTTTATCTCATTTTGTATGGCTTTAACTGCTTTATTTCCCGTCTTCAAACTCTCAAATACCGCCTTTTGCTTGCTCGCAAGTTCAACATCTGCCAACTGAAGCAAGCCAAAATCTCAACTATATGATCTCTTACATACATATATATATATATATATATATAAATGAAAAAAGCTTTCTCGAAAGAAAACGTACTTGCTGCTCTACGTTGATAAGCCAACCATCGACTTGCTTCAATAGGTCTTCTTGAAGCTTCTTCTTCTTCAAAGCTAACAAAGCCCTATCTTTCCTCTTTTCACGAAGCAAATCTTTTGCAGCTTGCTTTTCAGCTTCAATGACAACCTCCAGCTGAAAACAGTACAAGACGAAAAAAGATTCAAGTTGATTAACTGATACTTCGTCGATGATGGGTTTTTGCACCAGAGGCGGTTTCTTTTAAAAAAACCTTCACACCCATAGAAATTATAATAGCCATTTTTTGGTTTATAGAACAATTAAAAAAATATATAAAAAATTTAGCAGAATCTTAAGTTACAAATACAGGAGAGTTCTTGCCGGAGAACATAACAAAATCTTTTACCTGACAAATAATACTGCCATGATAAATCACAGTGACTGGCCAGCATGAAAAGCTTCTAAACCAGCATCGGTTCCAATCCAAGTGAACCCCGTTCCTTTCGATATTCCTCTCGCTTTCATCAACTCCCTCAATTGGCTCACACTATCCCATTTCCCAGCATCAGCTAACGCGTTCGACAAAGCAACATACGCTCCAGGCCTACTCTCTCCACTCACTTTGAAAAGCTCGTTCGCTGCTATTTTCGCGAGCTCCACATCGCCATGGAGTCTGCAAGAACTCAGCAAAGCCGCCCAAACGTCGGAATTAGGCCTTTCGGACATTTGCATCACGAATTGAAGCGCCTGGTTCAAACTCCCCGCACGCCCTAATAGATCTACCATGCATGCGTAGTGCTCCATTCTTGGCTTCATCGAGTAAACCCGATCCATGCACTCGAATATCTTCCTCCCTTTGGCAACTAATCCTGCATGGGCACATGCAGAGAGTGCACCGAGAAAAGTAACGTAATTTGGTTTAGTGTGACGTTCGCTTATCATTCTATCGAAGAGTTCGAGCGATTCGTTTGGACACCCGTTTTTCCCGTATCCATCAATCATTGAAGTCCACGAATAGACGTTCTTTCTCGGCATGGAATCAAAAATGGATCTTGCATCATCGGTTCTCCCACATTTGGAGTACATGTCTATCAGAGCACTGCCAATCTTTATGTCTGTGAAAAGCTCGGTTTTCATTAACTGCCCTTGGATCTGCTGGCCGATTTCGAATGCTGACAAAAGAGAACAAGCACCGATAATACTTGCAAAAGTAGATATCGTAGGCCTGAAATTTAGGCTCTGCATATCGATGAATATATGTATCGCCTTCTTAGCCGTCTCGACTGATTCACTGTATCCTTCGATCATGGCGTTGTAAACCACCACATCCTTCTCCACAGTCTTGTGAAATACATCCTCGGCATCTTCCAAACGGCCTTGGTTCATGTACCCTGTGATCATCGATGTCGAACAAATCACGTTCTGGTCCAACATTAAATCGAACACTCTTCTTGCGTACTCAACCCTCCCACTCTTCACATACGAGGCAACCAATGCGGTGTAAAGCACATCATCACCTTCAACATTGGATTTCAATATCTGGGCATGAACCTCACGCCCCGTAAAAGGTAAACGTGACCCTGCATTTCCGCTAGTCGAACCCTTCAAAATCATCGAAAATGTGTATCCGTCGGGCTTTTCATTCGAGAGGCACAGTTCTCGAACCAAATCAAAAGATTTATCGACAAACCCGTGTTTAGTATAGCCCGATATCATGTAATTGTAGGCCGATAAAGTTCGGCGAGGCAATTCATCAAACACCTGGCGCGCGTCTGATAAACAGGAGGACTTGACGTACATGATGAGGAGTTTGATGGAGATATTGACATTGGGTTCGATACCAGCTTTGAGTATGAGGGGATGGATCTTTCGGCCGTGTGAGGGATGATCTGAGTTTATGTAATTCTGAAGAGCTGATGCCACAGAAAACTCAGTTACAGAGCTAACCTCTATAAGCGGGAAATTCGTATTGGGTTGGTCTAGAAATCTGATTTTGCTTAATATTCCATGTCTCATCGTCTTCTTCCCATTTGGTATCAAAGAATCATAGTTTCAACTGTAATTTCAAGAACTCAACGAGTAAACGAAGTTTTTTCCTTTTTTCTGTTTTTTTTTTTTTCCTTCCTTCCTTCTTCTGGGCTCTCTCACATTAATTCGAGAAAGGGCTTATCATGGGCTGCAATGAATCCAATAGCAAAGAATTTTTTATGTTTTTGCTGATGTTGATCTAACATTTTCTGATTTTAGAATAATATTTTTCAATCCGAATTCTGAAATTCCGAGTTCCGATTTTTCGAAATTTCTTGGATCCAAATTGGAGTAAATATGAGATTTCGATTTCCAATCCGATTTTCAATCTCAAAAAAATCCAAAAATTTCGATTTTTACCCAATATTACAGTTAGATTGCTGATTTCTTCTATTCGAAAATTTTCTGATTTTGGAACAAATTCTTTCAAACCAATTTCTGAAATTTCCAATTTCTTGTTTGAATGAAACGGAACTAGTTTTTCACTTCCAAAACAAGAAATGGCTAATTACTATTAGATTGGTCCGAATTACACGCCTAATAGGCTAATACTACTCCAACCATGTGCTTTAATTAACAAGATTACCTAGAAATTGGGAAGGGTCACAATTATTAAAATCACAATTATTCTCAAAGTTACATTCATAAACTAAAACTAAATTAGTCGCAACGGGAAAGCTTTCAATTTTTAATTGACATCAATTTTCAATTTTCAAAAATCCCCCCTCATTGGTAAGTAAATTTGACTCCGTAAGAGTGAACAAAGACAATACGTAGTCGAGGGATTGTTTTAATTACCCAAATATTATGATTTTTTTCATAATTTAGCTTTACCTTAGGGTGTGATTGTAATTTTCCCTAATTTAAAGCAAATTTTCAATATTTTTCCGAAAAAGGTTTTTTTATTTATTTATATATTTTATAGTTAATTAAATAATTTTGAGATCATGTAATTAGGTAGATCAACATTTAAGGCACGCTGATAAACTATTCACTCGCTTGTCTTGTTCCTTTCATTTACTCTTCTTACATCAGACAAAAAAAACACACACACACACACACACACGCAATTGTGTGGTGTTTTTGTGTGTGTGAAGAAGGGACAGAGAATACATTTCTTTTTTAAATGGATCAGATAGTCACATTAGAGCCTAAATTGGTTGTTACAATCAAGAACTCTTCTCCATTTTTTCACCTTTTTGGTTGTTATTATTTCCATGGTTGTTAATCTCTTACCATTTACGGTTCGATTCAACAATCCGTTTCAAGTTTTCAACTTTCGATCTTTTACTATTCATAACTTGTCTTAAACATAAATTTTAGCATCTTATTTGACAAAAAACAAATAAATAGGTTTTATTTATTTATTTATATATTTTATAGTCATAATTAGGAATTTTTCGGAAATCTTCATTTTTGGAATTTTTTCGGAAATTTTCGGAATTTTCCCGAAAAAAAAAAAAAAAAAAAAGGAGGAAAAATTGATCACCGACACGGTAGCCAAACTGCAGAAAGAAACATCAAATAACCAAAACACACAACAGACTCACCAAAGCACACAACAGACTCACAAACACATAATTCCGAGCAACCACATAATTCTGAGCAACATAAAACCCAAGAACAGTTCGCATAATTCCGAGCAACAATAATTCCGAGCAACACAGGCTCATCAAATCAACATAAAACAAACAAACACATAATTCCGAGTAAAAAACCCAAAAATAATTCAAGCTTTTCAACATAAACAAACAAAGATTTAAAAAAAAAAGAAAATTACCTTGAGAGGAGGGCTGTCGGCGACGGCAACGGATCGGCAGCAGGCGGCGGGATGACGGCGGCGGGATGATCGGCAGCAGGCGGCAGAGAGCAGCGGCGGACGGCGAACGGCGGAGAGGAGCGGCAGCGGCAGACTGCGGCGGCGGAGGGGGGGCGCCGGCGAAGGGGAAGATTGAAAGAGAGAGAGAAACAAATCGGCGGAGGGGAAGAAAATCGGAGAAAATGGGGATTAAGAAAAAGGCTTCCCTAAATTTTCGTGGCATCCGGATCGGGATACGGCCCTGCCCTAGCGACCGCTCCTTACCTTCAGTTCTTTTCTTTACCCAAATGCGAAAGCAAAGGGCTAAAAGAATGTACCAAACCAAGTGGTTCTGTAGTTCTAATTCAATTGTTTGCGACGATTCCTAATAAAATCGTCGCCAAGTCAGATTTAAACGAATCTCATAGCGACGTTTTTGAGATCTTTCGTCGCAAACAAAAAAAAAAAGACTTGCGACAGACAGAAACGTCGCTAAAGAAAAGCGAGATTTTTTCTATAATTATTTTGGCGACGATTAATACACTATCGTCGCAAATAATAATTATAATTCTTTTAACAAAGTATTTTTCGTGCGACGAATACACTATTTTCGTCGCTATGAATAAATATAATTTAATATTTCCTCTTTATTACGCTACGTTTATCCTTATTCGTCGCCAACCCAATAATTTTTTTTTTCACAATTGCACTAGCGACGTAAACGTCATAGTCGTCGCGAAGGTAAAAAAAATAAATTGCAAAAAATATTTTTCATGCGTCGGTTATATAAAAACGTCGCTACGAGAGTGCTTTATTATTTTTTTTTCCCTTTGCGACGGTTTTTTAGTATTAGTCGCATATTCGCGAAGATTACGTTTATTGTCGCGGCATATTCCATCGAAATCTTATTTTCAGCTCACTTGCGACGTTTTTTAGTCAAAATGGTCGCAAACTAGCGACGATTCTGGAATCGTCGCCAAAAAAAAACGTCGCAAGTGAGCTGTTTTGGCCTAGTGTGGGCTTTCAAACTACCAAGTGTATGAGTAATAAAGTGCATGACTATTGAAATGCATGCATACCAAAGTGCATTAATTTCAAAAGTAGAATCTAAACTGAAACGGAGGAGTATTGGTGGTGGGCCGATAATAAGGGCAACAACGGGGGGCACAGTTGTGGCTTTGGTTGAGAACGACGGGCGCCAGTGATTGAGATATGGAACAACAGGGCGACGGTGGCTGGGCAGAGAACACTAGAGCGGCGGTGGCTGAGGTAGAGAGCGGTGGAGGACGTGCAATTGTAAATCTCTGGTGGAAGAAATGGAGAAGCGGTTGGTGAAAAGAGAATAGAGAAGGGAGAATAGTGGGAAAATATAAATAGGATTTAACGTAATAAGAGGTTTGAAAAAATATGGCATGTGAGGGCAAATTATATACATTAGGTTATTAGTTTGCTGGATGTTTATTTAATTAAATGACAAGGGGATTTCACTAATAAGAAGAAAAAAAGGGTGAATCCATTCTTATTATACCAATGATGAGAGAGAGTTTTCACTAATAATCCCCTTTTTTAATATTTTTAAATAAATAAACGAAAAGGCACTAAAATGGTGGATAATGGATATTGAATAGATGAAGGGTAAATTTGGGAATAAATGAATGGATCAGTCGATCACTAATAAATGAAAAGGGTTAGACCCATCCTTATTAGAAAATGAGTTAATAGCATTTTGTCATCTGTACTTTGCCTGTTTTTCCACTTTGCCACCTTAACTAAAAAAAATCATATGGGCACATCTTAGCCCACTTTTTTTACGCAGATAACCACCTATGATGAATATTCCAACGAATCTTCTTATTTACAGGCGCATACGCGATGCACATGCGAAAGTACAAGGGTTTTTTACCTGAAAATATCATATGGGGTTGAAATTGAAAGTACCAATGACTCAATTAAACTTAATTTGAAAATTTATAAATATATTAATATAAATTTTGGTCATTTGACCCGAGCTTTTATTTTTTCCGGTTTTAGTGATCAGACCGGACTGCTTCATCTTCGGGTCACGGCCGAATCGGTTCGACCGGCCGGTTCGGTCCTAAGGAGGAGGGGGAGGAGGAGGAGGGGTTTTGAAGAAGGAGAGGGGCGTGAGAAGTTTTTTGTGTTTGATATTTAAAAAAAAAATGAAATTTTTAATGTTTGTGTGGTATTGATTTTCATTAAGGTATTTACGTCATTACCTATTTATGATCTAATTTTTATTTTGGTGTTATTGAAGTGAGAAAAAAATAAGTATTTGTTTTAGTTGCTCCCTATTTTTTACTCAGTATAAGATCTTAAACAAATATAACATTTAATATTAAAACTAAAACAGTTGTTTCCTTACAGTTGATAAATCACGTGCATGTCACATGATTAGGATATCAACGTAATTTGACCTCCGAGGTAAGGTCGAATTATGAAAAAATCTCTCATATTTGGGTAATTATAACTATCGCCTCAACTATGAATTTTCTTACACGTTCCCCCTTATGGTGTTAAATTCAACATAATCTTCTCGATTCCGTAAAATGTTTTCTAGTTTATACTCGTTTTGTGCAAAAAGACAGTTTCAGATACACCAGAATCTGATGTTTACATGTCACTATAGACAATCTTATGATCATCTTGTTTTTAAATGTGAAGCTGGAATGTGATAGAACTGGTACAAACTCGAGAATATTCCACGTAATCTACAAGATTCTACTAAATTTGACACTGTAAGAGTGGACGTGTAAGAAAATTTATAATTGATGGGTGGTTGTAATTATCCAAATAGGAGGGGTCTTTTCGTAATTTGACATTTTCTCAGGAGTGGTTGTAATTTCCCCTTACTTTTTTTGGTAAATTCAAAACAATTAATTAGACTTGCCTAATCACGAACCAAGTCTATTTGAGAAGTACATAGATAGAGTTGGGCATTGAATTTGAAACATGTACTTAAGTAAATTGATATAATAATATACATAACTTTGAAAAGTATAAAAGGAGATGTATGTATCTAACGTATATTCATCTCTGTATAAGCATGAAAATCAACATAGTTAGCAGGAAATTGATAAAACCAAGTACCCCAACTCCTCAAAACATTAACAAGTACAAAATTTCTTTCCTAGATGAGCATTTGCCACCGGTGAATACGAGAACCATTTTCTTTTTATCGAATAATCGAAAACAGCAAAATGTGTTACAGCTGGCAGAATCATTGTCCGAAAGGTACATAAAGAATGATGGCTTCGTTGACTGCAGTGATCAAGGCGTAGAGTTTGTCGAAGCACAAGTTGTTGATGATGATGACGTAGATTTCAACGGCCTCGTCTCAAAAATGGAAATGGAGGAGCTGAATAATCTCCTATCACGTACACCACACCAAGTTGACGAATTACCGACGGATCCACTTCTGTCTGTTCAGGTGACGGAATTTAAGTGCGGGGGCCTTGCAATTGGCGTCAGCGTTGCTCATAGAATCTTCGATGGATATTCTTTTGGAATGTTCGTGGACGCCTGGTCAACCGCCAACAACAACAATCATCCAAATCCAGGTGGTGAAATCAAGATCATTTGCCCGAGTTTTGATTTGGCGACGTTGTTTCCGGGCTACGGGCCTAGACCCGGGCCGTCTGTGACTCGCTCATATCGCCCTAGCCCTATCGTGAAGAAGTTCACGTTTAACAAGGATGCAATAACAAGCGCGAGATCGAAACTAATTCAAAGGCCAAATAGTTATTACTCGAGAGTGCGTGTGGTGTCTGCGGTTTTAGCCAAGGCCCTAATGGGGGTGGATCGGGCCAAGCACGGAGGAAAATCAAGAACTTACCTCATTTGTCAAGCGGTCAACATGCGGAGGAGAACAAATCCACCGATGCATAAGTATTCTTGTGGGAATTTTGCGATAATGTGGGTCGCTCAATTTTCCGAAACTCGTGAGAACGTAATCGGGGTTCAAGAACTAGTGGATAATATGGGCGATTCTGTCATAAAGACATTGGCTGATATTGCCGAAGCACTTTCTCAAAGTGCGAAACTACATAGTACAATCAAGGAAATTTCGACCAACATTATGGAGAAAAAATCGACCGGTGAGGTGAATGTTATGTTATATACTTTACCGATTGGAGTAAGTTTGGATTGTACGACGTTGATTTCGGTTGGGGGAAGCCTGTCGGGGTAGGGATCGGAGCAGTGCTGGCAACGAACGCCGTAAGACTTGTGAGTAACAAAGAGGGTGACGGAATCGAGGCGTGGGTGCATTTGAATTCCAACGACATGGCGTACTTCGAGCAAGATCAGGATATCAAATTACTTGCAACCTAAGTTATAATAATATTATGGGTGTTTTTTTTTCTTTTCTTCTTTACAATAAAACACGCATAGAACTGGGATTCTTCCGAAGAACGGTTAGTATCGTTCGGGAGGTTGGACCGATCTCAAGTTCATGCTTTTATTATGTACTCATTTCGTTTCTTATTAGAATGTCTTTTAAGGATGATGCACACCAGTTATCAAAGTTATTTAACAGCCTTGATTTTAGAATATAAAACTCTTATATGAAAAAAGAATTTGTTTATCGTGATTTACGAAATTGCATCAAGAAAAACGAAAACTAATTTACAGAACACTGAAGAAGAAACATTTGTCATTTGGAAACTTTGACAGAGCAAAATAACATGGAATATACTAAATATGAGAAAACGATATTTTAAAATAAAATTACAGTGGGTAATGGTGGTGGGACGGAGGCCATCCCGTGTATCGATCCTCGATTACGCATAATTGGAATGATGTCCAGATCAAGCAAGTACTGGCTCCTCCATAACTGCACTCAATTTTTTGAAAAATTAACCAAATGAGTGTGTGTGTGTGTGTGTGTGTGTGTGTGTGTGTGTGTGTGTGTGTGAGAGA